GTGTTTTTGATTGATCTGAAATTATACCCTGAAAATAATTACCATAACCTCTGAAAGTAGGATGGGTGATTTACGTTGAGTAATTTAAGCAACAACAACAACAAAAAGGTGGTAAAGGAAGAAACAAAACCATGTAGCCTGGTGAATAGCTGCCAATTCTGAAGTCTGTCTATGTGCAGAAAATAGGATTCAGTTTATTGGGTATTCTAAGGTATTGGTATTATCAGGTATTCTAAATGAACTACAGAAAAACTAAAAGAGGAAATGTTTAGGAACCAATGAAACAGCACTGCAAAGAGTGAGGTTAAGATTTATGGCTAAAACTCCATCAGCAGACAATCTGCCTAGGAGCAGATGCAAATATTTTTTTCTTCCTTTTTTGTTAGGAATCAATATTCCCAAATGTTCCCATTCAAAACACCCTTTTCATATTATCTCTGCTCTGATTCTAATGTTAGGTGGTATTGCTTATGGTTCTGACTTGACCCTCCCACTCTCTTATTCTACTATGTTTCCTTGGAATCTTCTCATGTTCTAAAGTTTGGATTCTAAATACAGATTTTTAAAAAATTTCTTCTATATTGTATTTCTTTACCCAGTTGTACACCTAGATGCTTCCAACAGTCTGCCAATTAATCCATAAAATAGCTGAACCCCATAAACCTCATCTATGTATCTATTCTGATCTAATATATCCTAGAATATAAATATTCCTCGGTCAACTGGGTTTCTGACACTTTGGAGTCATTTAGATGCTTATAATCCATGAGCTGTAAGATTTTTTCTCTGTTCAATCAAGTTTTTCATCTGTTGTTTTTATATTACATATAAATCACATCCAACCATGCTTATTATACTAACCAATACAGTACTGTTTCTCTAACTGAATTGCTCCTTTTCCTCGGTTCTCTAGCTCTGCAATACCAAACTCTATCCACTTTTCAACTAAGAAAATATCTCCTGAAGTAGCTTTGACTAATGACTCCAACCTTCCTTTGAAGTGTAAACTGCTTGGATATTATTATAAATGGGGCATTGTTTTTAATTATGTAATTATGTATCTGGCTATCTTTTCCCAAAGTAAAACCAAACTCATTATTAGACGTAGGCATTGAATTTTACAATCTAGTTTCTCCTGCCATTATAGGAATCAGTAAATTTGTGTCTAATAATGGCATCTAAACACTCTCCTTATTAATTTACATTTAATGATTGCTGCTACCATAAGGACAAGGTAACTCAAAGAAATAATGTATCCCATGCAAGTGCTTATCACTTATTGACTAAATTTAATCAATTTCTTCATGGAGAAAACACTCCAAGTGCTTATCCATGAGGCAAACTGTTATAAGCAGTCCGATTTCCTCTTTAGTCTAAATGTTCTTCTTTCTAGCACTTTTTTTTATCTTAAGAGAGGGTAAAACTACTATAATTCTTATACCAATCTTTCAAGACAAAACCTCTTAATGATGTCTGATTCCCAGTGATTATTGAGACAAGTTTTCTAAACTAATTCTAAAAAACAAACAAACAAACAAACAAACAAACAAAAAAAACCAGGAAGATTTAAGTAAGCTGAGAGTGAGCACAAAAAGGTATTCAAAATTTAGCATCATTAAAATGCTGGTATGTAAGGACATCATAAAATAAACTTCACAATGATATAACCTCCTAGAAAGCTAATTATATAAGCTTTATTAATTTTAATCAACAGAAGAAAGAAAGACCTACATTGTCTTTTGGGCTATCAGTATCACTTCCCTTATATTTGTAGATACTTTCACCAACTGGCCCTGGACTCTGCAAAACTGACAAATGAGGAACACAGAAACTACAATGGTACCTACAAGATGATGAAAAGAAAGGTTTGAGAGTAGCTTCAGTTTCAGTACATAAGCAAGAAAACCACTGGGCACCTCAGAAAAGGTGATCTGAATATAGACAGAGGCAATCTGGCTATTTTAAAGCCTCTCAAATTGTTAGTTCTAACTTAAACACAGGAAGAAACAAAGGAGAACTAGTAAGTTAATATGGAATAGTGTATTAGTTATTCTTAGATTGTAAAGATACTTGATAAACTAAAGTATCCAGGCATGACTATTGAAAGCAGGCTTAAAAGCTATCCCCAGGACTGGGGAGATGGCTCAATGGTTAAGAGCTCTCCCAGCTATTCTAGAGGACCCAAGTTTGATTCCTAGCACCCAGGATGGCTCACAACCACCTGTTATTCCAGCTCCAATTTTGATGCCCTTTTCTGGCCTCTATAGACGCCTACATACAAGTAGCATACTTCCCAACAATAAAAATAAATCTCAAAAACATTGTCTCCACTGAAAGTCATTCCAAGATTTCAGAAACAGGAGCCTGAAATATGTTATCAGGCAAAATTAATGAGCAAAATTATGCCAAAATATGTAGGCAACATAGACACATCTTATATAGAACTTATGGCCTCCTAAATTAGTGGTTCTCAACTTGTGGGTTGCAACCTCTTTTTTTTGGGGGGGGGGCATATCAAATACCTGCATAGCAAATATTTACATTACAATTCATAACAGCAGCAAAATTACAGCTATGAAATAACAACAAAATAGTTTCATGGCTGGAAGTCACCACAGCATGAGGAACTGTATTAAAGGGTCACAGCATCAGGACGGTTGAGAACTATCCTAAATCCTTGAATAGTTCTATTTAACAACAGAATTACCTTTGTAAAATATTTACCTGGCAAATTTTAAAAAGGAAAAAATTACAACCCCCAAGTGTACAAGAGTCCAAAATTAGCCTATTAGGTGATATCCAAAACAGTCAAAAGTAAACATTTTAAGCCTAGTATTACAAAAACCTTTAACCCAACTGCTATGAATAAAGAGAACCATATTGCTTCATCAGTGACAGCTATGAAGTCTGTAGGTATATGCCAAATAAAGTTGTATAGACTATCCTCTTAGAAATAATGAAGTTTGTCACTTCCTACTTGGCACATGTGTGTGTGCATGTGTGTGTGTGCGCGCATGCATGTGTTCACATCTACATGTGGGTGCATGCATATAATTACCTTATTACTGAACTGTATCTCCAGCCTATGCTTGATTTTTTTAGATAAAAAGTTAAAAGGAAACTATTGATCAGTTTCCACTGTGTTGGGTTTGTTACCTTGGTACCAACCAGGGCAGCTTATAGTGAAGAATAACTACAATATTAAGCTCTCATTATTTTGGCAACAGTACAAATATCCATTAACTTCTTTGGTTCTGGACAACAGGCTCCAAAAAGAGAAAATACTTGGTGTGAGTGTAGCCCAAAGTTCAACATCAGGAATCTTACTCTATTCCATCCTATTTTTCAAAGCAAGGCCTCTCACTTAACCTGCACCTTGCTGACTGGCTATACTGTGTAGACCAGCAGGCCAGTGAGATTCAGGGATTATACTGTTCCCAGCTTCTAGTGGACTGCTACATCTGGGTCTGTTTTGGTAATAGGGATTCAAGTTCAGGTCCACTGCCTTTTCCCCAGATCAGAAATAATTTTTATCCAATGAGAAATGATATAGGTAGAACAACCTGCCTCATTTCTGACATGATAAAAGTATTTGGTATCTACTAAAGAGAACACATATTTAGTTGGAACAACAAATTCTGAGCAAGTAACTTCTATGATTGTTTTATAATGAAACTTAAGGACCACTTTAATATTATATCCAAATTATAGAAAATAAGGATCAAACCTTTTCACAACGTATAAATGAAAATAACACATCATTCATACTGACATGACAGCTTATGAGAGATAGATATTACAAATGAACTGCATTTAAAGCTATTATTAAATTGAGGCAGAGTACTATATCTCCTTTGTATGTAAGAAAAGATTAAGGTACACCTCAAGTACTATTTGAGTGACTAAAACTTCAAGTCTGTTTCATACTAATATCTATTCATATATGTATTTATAATACTTTATAATGTTAGAGCAAAACTAATTAAAACTTGATTATATAAAAACATAGCACTACAAATTTTAAAACTTCCTGTTCAAAAACTGTTTAATATGATTTTTGGTTAAGTAAAGAACAAACCATCTACAAGATATTTTGCTTAGAAAATATCTTTTACCACTAAGGCAATGCAGACCATGTCTTAATATGACATGTACATGCACTTAGCAACTCTCTTTTCTATGAAAGAGATAGAGTTGAGTCCATGAGTGTTATCCAAAAATATGCCAGATGACACAAATGCGTTGCCAGGCAGAGTTTAAAAAAAAAAATCTAACAAGCTTTGTGGGAATTTAAAAAACACTGTGCTCAACTCCTATTAATTAAACACAATGATGGATTGCTAATAAACAGTCAGCCAAATAACTGAACAAAGCATATACTATTTAAAAATGTGTTAAGCAGAAAGATAAACCAAAGTATCTTTTGCCAAAAATGAAATTCAAGTGTTTTGTTTGTTTTTTGAAAGTGAAAAATAAGACCTAAATGGTATCTCTGTAAAAAAAAAATAGCAACTTGTTTTGGGGGCTTACAAACTGTTATATAGATTTGATATTCTGACAAGAAAAGTTGGTAACAATTTGTCAAAATTAACGACAATTTTGTTACTCAGGTCTTGTCCATCCTCCAGTTTTTTAGTTTGAAGTTAACATTCTCTGTGTGTGTGTATATGTGTGTGTATTATAAATCCTATAAAACAGCACAAAAATTAAGACTAATTTAATAGAAAAATGTTTTGCATTAAGATATATATGCAGTGACCATTTTAAGATAATGGAATATGTAAAACCTTAAAAAATAAAGATATAATATGCATAAAATGCAGTAAAATAAAAAGCACATTTATATTCTATAGAAAGGCCTTTTTGGTTTATTTTGCTGCTTTGTCCCATGCTACACAGCATGTGATTCCACCCCCTTTTAAAAAAGCAAAGATCAGTTTTATGCAAAGCAATTCATGCATACACTTTTGCATGTATGCATCCATGTTAAGTAATCATACCTATCCCAGAGGCTCTTTGATTCCTGAAACGTGTTCAAATGGAACGCTTGGTAGAAAGCAGTTGAAGGATTCCTGTGAGATCCAAGAATCAAATGGAAATGAAGTTGAGAATGTACAGTATAATCAGTACTTACAAAATTGGAAGATTTTAGATTCCCACACAGTGTAACCACTTAAATTCGAAAAAGGAAAAAAGAAAACGGAAAACGTTGTGATAGATTAAAACAGTACTTTGGAAGAAATTAACACACATGCACACACACACAAATACACACACACACACACTCACTCTCCAGAACCCATAGTAATTCAGTATCAAAGTTCTAAAGGAAAGAGCAACAGATAACGTTAAATACTAACATTCAATTATGTGTATATATACATAAATGGTTCAGATACAACACAAAGTTGTATCTGATGCCTTAAGAGTCAGCTATAGTTTTAGCTGTTAGGTTGTGCTCCAGTAGAGTATCTATGCATAACATTAAGGTATAGTTTCCTAGAATTTGTTAATAGAAGGGTTAATGATAAATAATGTAGAGTCCTTCCTGGGTTGGTCATGATACATTTCCACTTTAAGTTTGTGTGTAGTTTCTCTGAGCTAGTTTGGGGCAGGGGGCACAAGGCAACTGTATGGACATGTTCTAATTTCTTGCATTAGTATAATGCCCCTTTAAAGGGTAAAAACTTATCAACTTGTTTTAAACAAATCTCAATTGATCGATTTTATCAATCAAGACTTGGGAGCCAGATGCTGGGGTGAAAGCCTACTAACTCAGGGAGGAGAAAGCACCCAGACGACCTTCTTCCTTAGCCAACGAACGACCCAAAAGGAAAGAAGCATCCATCCCCATGCTGTCTCAAAAAATCCTCAAACTGAAAGTTCTTCCCTTCTACTTTCTGTGCGTCTCATGCGTCTCTCTATTCATCCTCCTGACTTCCTCTTACTCTCTCTGTTTTTTTTCCTATGTTCATTCCCTGACAACTGGCTACTTGCTCTGCCTCTTGAGCTATGGTTTACTTTATTTAATCCTGTTCAAAATATTCAAGCAGAAAGCTCTTAGACTAAAGGTGTGTGCTAGAGCTGAGCCTTACCACAACTAGAAACAGTTTTTTTCAGTAAACAAGACAATTTTGGAGTTCACAGAGTATTCAAGTATCTTGCAACATCAACTATATCACTCATTCCTAATATACCTAGAGATACATTCCCTAGGGCTAACATCACAGAACTGTAATTGTTGAGCTAATGTACGCAAATTCCAGTATGTATAATTGACTCTGTATATCAGGAATAATTCCTCAAGGAGCTAAGCTTTTGACAAACCAAACAGTTTTTACTCATTTTGCATAATTCTAATGTCTTCCTCACCAACTATCTGTACTTTAGGGGTGTTAACAAGTACCTGTTACATCGCTTTAAAAATCCTTGACTTTGGGCTAAAGTGGATACCTCAGTGATTGAGAGCACATATGCTAAGGAGCCCAAATTTAGTTCCCAGGATCCACTCATAACTACATGGGACTTGAGCTCCATAAAATCGATGCCAAATCAATTAACCACTTAATCACCCACTCACTCAATTGATCAATCTTTTTTCTTCTCTAAGGCCACAAGGAAAAACAAAAAACATATCTTTGATCCATGCTATAGTATAAGGATAGCAAAAAGAACATACTTGCTGTATACCAGATGTTATTCAAACTGTTTTACATTTATTGACTCAATTTCCACAACAGCTCTACCTAACAGGGCTAAGATTACTATTTCTATCTCACTGATCAAAAGTGGATCAAACAAAAGTAACTTTCCAAATATCAGAGTAGGTGGCAATCTATCTGGCTCTCAATTCCTAGCTAAGATGTCAGGTGAGTCACAACAATTCAGGTAACTGCAGCTCCAGAAGACTGAACAACCTCTTGTGGCTTCCATGTACACTAGCAGACACATAGCACACATTCACACAAACACATGCACACACGTGTTAAAGAAAATAAAACAACAACAAAAAACCTTACAAAGTTGTCTGCAATAGCAATCATCAATGATCATCAAATTAAAAACAACAGGACTATGCCTTCAAAACCTGGATTGAGTCAAGCTATGTTGTATGCACAATCACTTTTCAGACAGCATTATAGATTTTTAACCAATAAGTACCACTTTTGAAAAAGCAGAAAAGTCACACTGACATTGGATAACAGAGAATCACCTAAGAAGTTGTTGTGTTAATCAGGACTCTTTAACAATGTATAGTTCTTACTGCTTTCCCTCATCTATTTACTTTCTATTCTTTGAACCCTTTTTCTTAACTGGGTCGTAGGGCAAGCAAAGCACTGATTAGATCTTCCAACAACAAAGTATAAGATAATTCTAACATCTTCTAACTTCTGTTAGATTCCTTTTTTTCTTTTTCCTCCCCCCACTGTACTTCAAAATCAAGTCAGGCAAGTAAGATAAAAGGCAAATGAACTGAAAAGTTAATTTGGCTCCTCCCAAAACCAACTAATTCAGGTCTGCCCAGGACACTATAAGAACTGGTTTGCTGTTCCTTAGTTTTTTTAATTTTATTTTTTTTTAGAAACTTCAACTTTAATGGAATAACTCAAAGAAGATGACAGAGGAAAAGGAGGATAGAGAAAACTTGGAATTTATTCTCCAGCTTAGAATTACAATTTCCTTATAAAGAGCATTTAAAATCAAATATACTCAGAGAGATGATATTTTAAAAACAGAACTTCAGATATTTTTACTTTGGAAATATCTATATTTAATTTGAGGCAAATTCACCTGCTAGGCAAACTGACTTCAAAAATAGTCACATGACTTATGTTATGAAATGCCACCATTTTTTCAATTGTAATGATCCAATGTTTTTTATAAATCAAATATAAAAAAAAAAACTACAGTTAACAGTAAACCTCAGAGTGTGAAAAGGATCTATGGAATAAAGTACAATAAGAAGAGGAAAGGTTATATTTTATTCAGTAGTTTTGAAAAATGTTTATAAACAAGAAAACAGCATTTTCATTAAATGACTGCAATAAATTCAATATAAACTACATCTCATTCTTCTAAGAGTTGCTTTACAGGCCCTTAAGAGCAGTAGTTTATATTCACTTCAAATCAGTTGTTAAGAAACTGGTTTCAAGTATAATTTCTTGCAAAAGAGAATATGTCATTTTTATCTTTGTGCTATTACGTTTCACTTAGCATTTAAATAATCTTATTAGCAGAGCTTTCCTTAGGCCCTTAGTCCCCTCAATTTTTATGTCATTTCAAAGTAATTGTTTGTTAACTGTGCCCACTGGTATTTACAAGGGCCTTTTCTTTCTCTATTGCCTGGCTTTATATACACGTCTGTCACATTAATTTCCCAGTACATGAAAACAATAATACTAGCATGTGACAAACACATATAACTTATATCCACTTGCTTTAGCAAGATATTCTATTTGTAGAGTAACTGGAGTACGGAGAAGAAACACATATGCATATCCCACATCTCAAAGCCATCAAGTTTGTGAAGCTTAAAGGGAAAGGTATATGAGCCTCAACTCAGCAAAAATGTTCTCTTTCCTGTATGTGAAAACTCAACTTTAAAGATTTAAAGAGAAACCAGACAAACAGAGTGAAAAATCAACACAGGCAGGCTGGTGCAGTGGCGCAGACCTGTAATCACAGCATTCAGGGAGGCAGAGGCACAGGCAGATCTCTGTGAGTTCAAGGCTAGCCTGTTCTCCAAAGCCAGTCCAGGGCATCCAGAGAAACCCTGTCTCGAAAAAACAACCAACCAACCAACTAAACAAACACACAAACAAACAAACAAAAAGCCAACAAAGCCTATTCCAATATTATGTGTGAATTAGGTGCTTGTAAGAATCCTTCAGGTAAAATGTCACAACATAACCATTTATTAATGGTATAGTAATTTTCCTTCCTTCCCACATTCATTGTTTGCTAAGTAATAAAGCAAAGGAATACTGGCTTTGGAGTGGCAGACTTAAGTGTTTCTTTTTAGTCCATAAAAGAGATTAAAACTCTTATTTACAGGTTGCTGAAAAGATCAAATGGAATTATATTTATATAGGGTTTGATACAATTAAGCTTAATTTTATGTTGTACAAAATGCAACTTTTGGTAGAGAATTTTAACATGCATCAAGTTATCTCACCATCATCAAGGTAATGTTGAAGCAAAGAGAATAATTAAATTTATAGTTAGGTACATGAAACTATGTAGCATATTTGACAAATAACAATTCTGACTACTGGGACTTATTGTAAGCTCCAGCCCACAAAAACCCTTAAAGTTTATCACATTTTAATGTGATACAATAATATAATATTCACTGAAATAGGTATTGAAGTAAGCTACAAGATAAACACTACTTAAAATAAAAGCTTCAAGAAATACTTTAAATAGCAACTGGAAAGTTAATGTAACAATCTAAACTTACTATGGTATTAAGCTTTTCACTCTGCTTCCTGTCAAATTAATCAAATAATTTACCAAGTCTGACAGAGCCTCACTCTCTGCAAGAAGCTGCTACTTCTCTGAGCTTAGCAAATCACCTCTTATTAGTGATCAAATGGGAATGGCCCTCTTAATTAAAACTCAGTTCAAACATTAGTCTCAAAGAATGTACAAATACCGGGTTGATTCTGAAGAAGGTGGGTGGAGAACAGTGGTAAGAAGTTTTCAATCTATCCTGGTTTGGATATTTTACATTCTGAACTACATTTATATATATGCACAGTGTCTAAACAGAAGTCAGTCTATATTAAGAAATCACATTTCTTAAACTATTCCTCACTAGCACTGAACTGTTTACTCCATCAACACCTAGCATATACATCAAATACAATCTCCTTTCTGTACCCTAATGTTTACTACCTGGAGAACATTACAAAAATTGAATGACTGGTGTATTGTTCTTTTAGCTGTTTACTTTGCATTCAATTAACTTCTCAAGTATTTGAGTATTCAAGAAGCACGCTTCATTTTCTTTCAATCAATCAATCATACAATGGTAGTGGCAAAGCTGTGCGGGATTGTGACAAAAAGTTCT